AGATCAAGAACAAGACAAGGACATCTACTTTGATCACTTTTATTCAACATACTATTGGATGTCCTTGCCACAACAATCAGACAAGGAAACGAAATGAAAGACACCCAAATTGGATATGAAAAAGTAAAACTTATCATTATTTGAAGATCACATGATACTATATATATTGAACCCTAAGGTTCCACCAAAAAACTATTAGAACTGGTAAATAAATTCAGTAGAGTAGCAGGATATAAAATTAGCACCCAGAAATCAGTTACATTTTTTATATACCAATAATAAGCTATCAGAAAGAGAAATTAAGAAAACAATTCCATTTACAAGTACATCAAATTATACATAGGAACAAATTTACTAAAAAGATAAAAGACTTGTATTTGAAAAATAATGACATTGAAGAATGAAATTGAAGAATATATAAATAAATGAGAATATATACCATGCTCATGGATAGGAAGAATTAACATCTTTAAAATATCCATACTCCCAACACAATCTATAAATTCATTGCAATTGCTTTCAAAATACCAATGACATTTTTCACAGAACTAGAATAAATAATCTTAAAATTTATATGGAACAACAACAGATCCTGAATAGCCAAAGCAATCTTGAGAAGGAAGAACAAAGTTGGATGTATCACAACACCTGATATCAAACTATACTACAAGGCTATCATAATCAAAATATCATGATACTTGCATAAAAACAGACCCATAGATCAATGGAACAGAATAGAGACCTTAGAAAAAAACCCCACCTATATGGTCATTTAATCTATGACAAAGGAGGTAAGACTGTACAGTAGGGAAAACACAGTCTTTTCAATAAATGGTGTTGGGGAAACTGGACAGATATATGAAAAACAAAAGAAAAGAAAGAGAAAGAAAGAAAGAAAGAAAGAAAGAAAGAAAGAAAGAAAGAAAGAAAGAAAGAAAGAAAGAAAGAAGAAAAGAAAGAAAGAAAGAAACTAGACCACTTTCTTACACCATATACAAGAATAAACTCAAAATAAGTTAAAGACTTAAATGTAACTTCTGAAACCACAAAACTTCTGGAAGAAAACACAAGCAGCAAACTCTCTGACATTGCTCTTTTAATATTTTTTTCTGCTATATCTCCACCAGCAAGGGAAACAAGAAAAAAATAAACAAAGGACTATATCACACTAAAAAGTTTTTGCATAGCAAAGAAAACAATCCAAAAAATATTTTTTGATGGTTCTGAGATGGGAGGAGGGGTTGGGGGTGAGTGAAAAAGGGGAAGAGATTAAGAAGTACAAATTGGTTGTTACACAGTAGTCATGGGGACATAGGGTAGAGCATAAGGAATATAGGCCATAATATTGTAATAACTATATGTGTGGTTGGATGGGCACTAGATTAACCAGGGTGATAAATGGGAGGGGTGTTGGAGGTAGAGTGAAAAAGGCGAAGGGATTAAGAAGGAAAAATTTGTAGTTACAAAATAGTCATAGGGATGTAAAGTAAAGCATAGGCAATAGTCAGTAATATGGTAATAACAATACATAGTGCCACATGGGTACTAGACTAGTCAGGAGGGGTCACTTCCTACATTATATAAATGTTTAACCACTATACTGTATGCCTGAAATTAATATAAAATAATATTTAATGTCAACTATAATTAACATTTTTAAAAGGGGGAAATGTGAAAGGGAATGTATAAAACATTCAAATCAAATGTATAAAACAAATAAGTCATGGGGATGTAATGTACAGCATAGGGAATACAAGTACAGTCAATAATACTGTGATAATGTAGTATGGTGTCAGATGGTTGCTGAAAGTGATAATGGTGATTACTTCTTTAGGTATGTAAACATTGAGCAACTATGGTGTACACCTGAAACTAATCTAATATTGTATGTTAGCTATATTTTAATTAAAAATCTTAAAAAGAAAAAAGTTCAGCCCTGAGAGCCTATAGAAACTCAAGCCCTCCTGCTCTTTGTGTGTGGCTCCTTGGGCTTTACATTCCTTTTCAGAAGCTAGAGGACAGTGAGTGAGATAGACCAGAAAGTGATGCAGAGACAGGAGGGAGAAGGAATCTGGGGCTGCAATATGATTAAAGTTTGTAGATGTAGGAGACAACATATTTCAGAGAATGATGAAACATAAGATCTTGGTTCATAAGCTGTAACTTGCAATTTCTATGCAAAATAAAAGTCTGGATCAATAATCCTTTCTGGTTACCTGGTCCTCCTCCTTGTCTCTCAATGCTTCTATTTACTATTCTTTTTGCAACCTGCTTGAATATGCTTAAGAACCCAAATTTGAAGTACCCTGATTTTTTACCTATTTGCTCTTTTTCTTAAGGTCTGTTAACCCATGAGGCAGAATCCTTATATAGTTACTCTTGCACGGCTTTGCTTTTTGTTTAAGAATAGTCATCCCCATGTTTTGCTGTCAGTTGATGCCAAAACTGGATGACCACAAGAGCATCATGCCAGAGAGACTCAGCCCTAAATGTAATAGTTGAAAACAAGGCTATCATCACAAGCAATTTTTTCTTTTTACAGAGAATTAAGAGATTTTATTTCTTTTCTAAAATGACTTTATTATTGACAACAGCCCTTGCATCTAACCTTGATGAGAAGACAGAGTAAAGTTACAGGAGATTTATGGTCTTCAGTTTTCCTGCTATCTTCTGTTGGTCTTCATGGGCAGAGCAGATGGTTAACCCTACTGGGTGAAGACAGATGGCTACCAGGACTCTTATAATAGGCAATTAAGGGAGAATGCATGCTCCTTTTGTTTAAAGTAGATAGTATTTTGAGGAGAAAAACCAATGATTAGAATTATCAGTGCATGATCTCCTTGCTTATTACCCAACCCATCTTTTTTCTTCTATTTTGGAAACATTACTCAATATTTCAAGAATTAGCATGTCAAAGATAATTTCAAGCAAGTGCAAGAATAAGAAAATCTTAGCCTAATGGTCCCAAGGTGTCTCTCTGAACCAAACAATGGCTTCTTAGTTTCTGTTCCTCTGTTCTCTTTCCCAGTCCAAGCCTTTTAAGCATCTTTATTTCTGCGGCAGTTTCCTTTATGTGTTTATCTCTGAGTAATCATGGAGCAACATCTTCAATCATAGAAGAGGAGAAACCAACAGGACTTAGAAGCAAATATATAAATGAAAGGAAAACAATTGGCCACAAGGAGTATGATCATGGACGAGGGATGGACTGTAGGGAAAGCCATTGTCATATAGTGCACCAGAGTTGTCTTTATCTCATATGTGCACATATGTGGTAGTTTGTTTCCTCTCCAGCCAGAGTACATTGGTCTTGAGATTCAGTGACTATCTAGCTCAGCATTGTTTCTCCAGTACCCAACTCATTAAGTGTCTGTTAAATAATAACAAAAGTATTTTTGCCTTTTTTACAAAAAACTTTTTGAACTTTTTATTTTTATACATTCAGAAAAGTGAAACATGTCAGTGTATTTTCACAAATAAAACACATTCATTTAAGCAGCCCCAAGAACAAGAAACAAATCAGCACCCCAGGGCCCTCCCCAACAAACCTGCTTTCTGAATTTCCACCATTCCCTGGTTAACTGCTGTCATAATTTCTAACACCCTGGACCTGCAGATGAGATAGCATGATCATTGTCCATGAGATTTCCAAGGACATCCCTGGGCACTGAATTGTTACAGCTGGATTCAAGGCTGTTATGACACTAAAAAGAGAGCTTCTCCCTTTGATAGTGGTGCCAGCTTCTACTACAGACTCTTTGGGAATGTTTGGCATTGACTGGCAGTGTAGGAAGCTTGGATCTTACTGTGAGAGCAAAGATAAAGTGGATTTCAGAGCAGAATTTCCACTCCAAAGAATGTGAGATCCCCTAGGTTGAAGCATTAAAGGAAAATTGCCTGTGACCTGTCAGTTGGTGATCTGCTGGGGAGCCTGTTTCATCTACATTGCTAATTAAAGCCCAAATTAAATGAAATCAAATGTTCACATGAGAAGCCTCACAAGAATGAGTTTACAAATTCCATCAGCTCAAAAGAAGCCTCATGTGTAAATCCCTAAATCACATGCTTGACCCTCTTTATATTCACTTTCCTTCAAGAGTCCTGGTGAAAAGGCTATGCAGCCTTCAGTGTATAGTGTGCAACTTGCCTAGATTATTAATTTCCTTCTCAGTGAAGTCAGAATCTACCTAATTGAATGAGTGTATAGAAATACGGGGATGGCAACAAAATTTGAAGAGGGAGGATTTAGTGATGACCAAAGTTCCTGTTCTGAAAACAGGGAGTGGGGACACTGGAAATGTTGCTACTTTATGGCTAAGATGATAAGCATGGTTGCAAGAAAGTTGAATTTAAGCTGACAGGGAGGGTAGAAAATGAGCTCTGGAGTACAAGAACCAGGTAAAGATTGGAGGTAGAAAAAAAAAAGAGGGGTCATGAGCATTAAGAAGACAGCTGAACCATGGTGGTAAATTAAGTCAGTGTGAGAATATAAGGTGAGAAGAGGAGCAGAGATGGTCTCATGGCTGCAACCATGCATGGATACTGAGAAGCCGCTTCCTATTGTAAGCTGATCACTTGCTGGCCTACTCATTTTCCCCTTCATAATATGGGGACATGGTAACCTCCATAGAGCATGTGGATTCACCAGTAGAAACCTTCCACAAAAGACTCCTTAAACTGCTTGATTTCTTTCTATCTATCATAGGCTAAAACATGTTCCCAGATAATCAGAACTCCTTACACAATAATGCAGGAAAAGACAACCAATAAAGGGTGATATCTTGTTTACTCCACTCCCAGCTCTATAAAGAGTTTATTTATAATGCTCAAGATAAAGGAGCAGAGAGTTCTTGGTGCCACTCTGCCAAGGATCTGTTTGGCCTATCTCAATACATTAAATGCCTTTACTTCAAAATTCTCTGCCTGCCCTCATTTATACTACCCTGGTGGGCCCAAGTGTGGTAGCAAAAGTTGAAAGGTAGGTTTCCAGGAAAACTCACCCTGGAGTCTCTCTCCAGCTGTTGCTTGTGGTGTAGGCTGCGTCTTCTCTTGGCCTTTGCAAGGCCATTGTGATAAAAGTGGTACAGGCTTTCAGTGAAGGGGAGCTGTGAAGAGTCAAACAAATATATGACATGGTTAGCTTCTGAGGTTAGCCCTATAACAGGGACACCAAAGTTGAAACTGAATGTTGAGGCTTCATGGTAGGGGAATGTATAAGAGAAAACCACTTACAAGCTTCTATCAGACCTGGTCTTCTATTTTCCCATCACTGTACTCTTTCCCTCTTCTCTACTTTTTCTTATATAGTGCCCATTCCCCTCACGTCCCCAAATACCTTTTATTCTTTCCTCCATTTTAGTTTCTATTCATCTTTTAATAATCTCTTCTCCTCCATAGAACTTTGCCTTTGAACTCATATCCACACCAAATTCTCAATTTTCCTGTCTTAGGCTAGTGTTTACATGCCATATTGAGTTGCTCCAGAATTGTGTTGTGACCTAGTCCTGTCTTCACAGCTGGACTCTCTGTCCTATGTCTTAGACTTTCTCTATGACCCCTCAATACCTCTCATCATTCTGGGCAGTGTGTAATTGTCTAAATCCAGTAAGTATCTATTGGATGAAAGGCAAGGTTTCCTTATATCTCCCTTTCCTAAAGATCCTTGGAATTAGGTATGAGTGTCACAATACAGAGGCCACAATAGTGAAAGCTTGTCTGGGGCTCTGGACTTCTAAGACTCTGGAACTTAAGAGTACTGTCACTAGTTCTATGATCCATGGCAACTTGTGGGGGGGGGTGGGGGAGTATTCTTGACCTGGAAGTCAGGAGACCTGGATATGGTTCATGTCTGTTAGCATCTAACCTTAAGCAAGTCATTTCCCTCCTGGGGACCTTTTTCTTTTCTTCAATATAAAAATGAAACCTCCAAGTCCCCAGATTTCTACTTTTTCTTCATTTGTCTTCATATTTCTGAAAATATTCTGCTTTCAATTCTTAGCCCAATCAATCAATGTAATCAAAACATTGAAAATTATAGCTCAAATCATGTACATATGTGCATTATTCTGGAGATTTGAGACATGACTTTCATAATATTCTCAAAAGGCTCCCTGAGCCAAAAAGCATTTCACTACTCAAAGTATTTGCTATTGAAACATTTAGGTATGTGTGTTGCTACCTATGGTTTGGAAGAAAAGAGAAGGGAATGTGGATGTTTTGAAACTAAGTTTTTACTAAGATAGGTGGGGCCAATTTGAGATTTTTTTAGGCCAAGTATGCCCCCAATATACACACAGAGACCCTTGGCAAAGGGTAAAAACAAGCAACAATAGCAAAAACAGTAAACCCAGAAACCACACACACACACACACACACACACACACACACACACACCAAAAAACCTAGAGAACGAGTGATTCCAGTTTTCGGAGTTGCCACATTGTATTATTTAAAATGTCCAGTTTTCAAAAAAAATTATAAGACACTCAAAGAAACAGAAATATATGGTCCACATATGGAAAAAAATTTTCTGAGGAAGTTCAGATGCTGGACTCACTAGACAAAGACTAAATCAGGTATTATAACTATATTCAAAGAACTAAGGACCCATGTCTAAAGAATTAAAGGAAAGTATGAGAATGGTCTCTTAGAAAATAGAGATATTATTTAAATATACAAATAGAAATTCTAGAGCTAAATTACAAAAACTGAAACAAAAATTTTAATAGTGGATTTCAATAGCAGATTTGAGTTGGCAAAAGAAAAAAATCAGCAAATATGAGGATCAGTCAATTGACATTATCCAGTTTGAGGAACAGAAAGAAAAAAGAATGAAGGGGATCTCTTCATAAATTATACAAAAGTCTAACCACTAAGCTGTACATCTGAAACTAATATAAAATAATATTGAATGTCAACTATAATTTAAAAAATAGTCATGGAGATATAAAGTACAGCATAGGGAATAATTCAATAATATTGTAATAACTATGTACAATGTCAGATGGATAATAGACTTATTAAGATTGTCACTTTGTGAGGTATATGAATGTCTAATTACTATGTAGTTTTGTACACCTGAAGCTAATAAAAAAAATGAACAAAGTCATGTGGGACACTATCAAGGATATTAATATACACATAATGGGTGTCTCACTAGGAGAGAAGAAAGAGAAAGGAGCAGAAAGAATATGAAATAATAGCAGAAAACTTTCTTAATTTCATTAATTTAGTCACACATTTCATGAAATTAATATACACATCCAAGAAGCTCAACAAATTCAAGGTAGGATAAACTCAAAGAGATCTCCACCTAGACAAGTCATAGTCAAACTTTCAAAAGTCAAAGATAAAGAGAGAGTCTCAAAAGTAACGCAGTAAGAAAAATATATGAGATGTTCAGGAAGACAGACAGTGACTTCTAATCAGAAGGTATGCAAGTCAGAAGGCAGCTAAATGACATATTCAAAGCACTGAAAGAAAAAGGTTGTTGACCAAGAATTCTATATTTGGCAAAACTATCAAAAATTATGAAAAAAATCATACATTCCTGGAAAAACAAAAAACAGAATTCGTTGTTCGAAGATCTGCTCTACTGGAAGTGCTACTGGCAGTACTCTAAGCTAAAATAAAAGGAAACTAGGCATTAACATGAATCCACATGAAGAACTAAATAACACTAGTAAAGAAAGGCAAATACATGGGTAAATATAAAAGAAAATATAAATGTATTTTTGTTTGTAACAACTTATTTCCTCCTATATCATTTAAAAGACAACCAAATAAAGCATTAATTATAAAACTGTGTTTATGGGCTTATAATGTATAAGGATATAATTTGTACAATAATTGTGAAAAGGAGAGGAAAGGAAAGATAGCCATATTGGAGCAAAGATTTTGTATAGTTTTGAAATTAATTTAAGTATGGTTTTAAATTTGATTGTTTACAATGTTAATTGTAATCCTCAGAGTAACCACTAAAAAGTAACTAAAAATATATAATAAAAATACAACAAAGTACTTAAAATGGTACACCAAATATATTTAACACAAAACAGCAATTATGGTGGAATAGAAGAATAAAAATTTTATAAGACATTTACAAAGCACATAATGAAATGGCAAATGTAAATTTTACTTCATCAGTATTACATCAAATATAAATGAATTGAAAACTAATCAAAAGACAAAGATTGACAGAGTAGATGAAAAATATTCAACCCTATGATTCAACTATATTCTATCTGCAATAGATGCACTTTAGGTTCAAATACATAAATAGGTTGAAAGTAAAGGATGTGAAAAAATATACTGTATAAACAGTAACCATAAGAGAGGAGGATTGACTATACATATCTTTGACAAAATTGATTTTAAGGCAAAAATTGTTACTAGAGACAGGAATAACTTTTAATGGAGACTTTAATAGTTTAATAGCTCATTTTCAATAATGTATGGAACAAGTTGGCAGATCAAAAAGTAAGTTGAACACATAAACAAAACTATAAACGAACTAACCTAACAGACATTTATAGACCACCCAACAATATCAGAATACATATTCTTCTTATGTACACATGGAGAGTTTCTTGGGGTGGACCATATACTAGGCCACAAAACAAGCTTCAATAAATTTAAAAGGAGTAAAACAACACAAAGTATGTTGTTTAATCATAATTTCTAATTTCATTAAAATTAATAACAGAAGATAAATTGGGAAATTCATAGATATATAGAAATTAAACAATACACTCCTAAATAATCAATGAGTCAAAGAAGACATCCCATTGAATATAAGAAAATATTTGATTTGAATGAAATAAAAAACCTCATAGAATCAAAAACTTGTAGGATGCAGTTAAAGTAATGCTTAGAGAGATATTCATAGTTATAAATACCTACTGAAAAAGATCTCAAACCTAACTTTGAACCTTATGAAAAAGAAAAACAAACTAAATCCAAAGTAAACAGCAGGAAGTAAATTAGAAAAATTAGAAGATTCAAATTGGGATAAATAAAATAGAAAAACAATAGAGAAAATAAACAAAACCAAAAGTTATTCTTTGAAAAGTTCAATAAAATTAATAAACCTCTAAAAATACTGACCAAGAAGAGAATATTCAAATGAGTAAAGTCAGTACTGAAAGAGGAGATATTACTACCCACTCACAGAGTATATTAGGAAATGCTACAAATAATTGTATGCTAACAAATTAGATAAACTCGGTGAAATAGATAAATCCAAGTGTACAATTCTGTAATAAAACGTTACTAACAATTGTCACTTTAATAAACTTTAATAATAATAAAAAAAACAAGAAATAGATAAATTCCTAGAAAGACATAGATTTCCAAAATGGATTCAGAAGCATAGAAAATTTGAATAACTAAGGAGATTGAATTAATAATTTTAAAAATGTCTACAAAATAAAGTCCAAGCCCAGATGCCTTTACTAGTGAATTCCATTAAGAGTTTAAAGAATTTATACCAATCCCTCAGAAAATATTTTAAAAAAATAGATTAAAGAACACTTCCTAGCTCGTTTACTGTGGCTAATATTACCCTGGTATAAGAAACAGACAAAGATATCACAAGAAAACTACAGACAATGGTCCCTTACAAATATAAACCCCCAAATCCTCATCAAAATACTAGTAAACTGAATCCAGCACCATATAAAGAGGATTATGTACTACGATCAAGTGGAATTTATCTCAGGGATGCAAAGTTTTTTAACAGTTGAAAATCAATGAATGTGATAAGCATAACAATGGAATAAAGGATAAAACATGATCATCTTGATAAACGAAGAAAAATTATTTGGAAAAATCCAACAACCTTTTATGATAAAAATTGAAAAAACTTAGAATGAAGTGAATACCCTGTATCTGATAAATTATATATATAGCTAACATATTTAATAGTGAAAGGCTGAATGCTTTCCTTTTAAAATCAGGGCAAGAAGAAGATGTCTGCTCCTGCCACTTAGGTATATTCAACAGTGTACTGGAGGTTCTAGCCAGGATAATTGGTAAGAAAAAATGAAGTAATGGCATCCAGATTGAAAAGGAAGAAAAAAATATCTCTATATGCAAAAATTACCTT